GGTGGGCATCCGAGGTGCTCCTTCGGGCCCCGTAGGCTGCTCGAACTTGGCCGTGCGCCCAATTCCGTTCATTTGTGCTTTGTAATTAGCACCGAATTCCAGGAGCGGCAGGAGCAGGGCAGGCAGCAAGGGCAGGGCAGGCAGCAGGTTGCAGCTCGCTCTCGCCCTGCTCGGGGTGTGTGGAAACAGCGAGACGGCAGTGAAGCTGTGGCTTGCCACCCCTGGGCCCATGTTCAGAAATACCTGCGAGAAAAACCCCAAGTGGACCAAAGTGGTCTCTGCTCTGAAATTCAGCTCCCCTGAGCTCACGGCTCCCCCTCAAAGCCCCGTGCAGCGAGGGATGCAGGGGATGAACAGTGGTCCAGGGCTGCCTGGCAGGGTGCTGAGACAGGGGACATCCCCACCATGGGGTACCCTGTCCCTGGCAGCCCTGTTGAGACACGACAGCCCACGCTCAGCTCTGCTGGGAGCCAGTGGAGGCGCTCCATCCCATGCTGAGGGACCACACAGAGCCCCCACCCTGCCCCTCACAGGGTGTCAGAGCCAGGTCCACCTGAGCCACCCCCTGTCCCACAGCACAGCTCCCTGGGGCCGTGCTACTGGTGGTCCCTGCCCAGGCTTGTGTCCCAGTCAATGGCTTGTGTCCCCATCGTAATGGCTCCAGAAAGGCTCTGGCAGCCCATCCTGCCTCTGGCATGCTCCTGAGCGCGATGCTGATGCCGCTTCCGAGCGGGATGCTGATGCTGCTCTGTGCCCCAGGATGAAGAACAAGCTGTGGTACTTTGAATTCGGGACATCAGAGACCTTTGCTGCCACCTGCAAGAAGCTCCACGACTACATCGAGGTGGAGGTGGGTTTCCCGGGATGGTCCCTGCCCCCAGTTGAGGCACAAAAAGGCTTTTTGGGGGATTGTCACCCACGGGTCCCTCGGGCAGGGCTTTTGGCTGTTTGGGGAGAGGGTGCCGCAGGGCAGCTTTGACCCCGTAGGATGGCAGGAGGATGCGGTGGCTGGCAGGACCCACTCTTCCACTGCGTGGTGCTTGGTGCGAAGCCGGCCAGCTGCAGGCAGAAGAATAGCCCTGTATTTTTCCCCCCTTTCCAGCTGTATTTGAGAGCGTGCCTGGAATATTCTCTGTAAACTCCGCGCCTGCTCCCAGCCCTCGTTGGATGACATGGAAACAGCCTTTAATTAGAGCGGGGAGGAGGGCCTGTGGTTGCTAAGAGCGCTGTCATTTCTTCACTCACACTGCTGGGGGGGGGGTTTGGGCTGTGTTTTGCTGTAAACTTCCGCCTCTCCTTTATTTCTGGATAAACGACCCTTTTATAACTTAGGCTTGAGGGTGAGGGGAGGCGGGGGGGGACCATCGCTCCCTGCGAAGGGCTGGCGTGAGCCGGACCAGGCGGTGGGCGCAGGGTGGCCGGCAGTGGGCAGAGCCCAGGGAGCCGGTGGTGCAGCTGTGGGCATTCTGCCTGTGATTTTCAGGAGTTTGAAGCCTGTTTTGCCACGGGATGTTTCAGCCATTCCCAAAGCCCGAAGTGGGTAGCCGTGCCCTCGGCAGCTGGTGGGAAGGGATGGGAGCAGGGGGTATGGCCACCTCACCCCCTTCCCCGGCCGCGCGCCAACGTCCCAGCGTGGATGAATCCCGTGTGCGCGGGGTTTGATGCTGCCGGAGATGGGCGCGAGGTGCCCTCCTGCCCCTTGCGAGGTGGCCCCGCACAGCCCGTGTCAGCGCCGGCTGCGCCATGCCGGCAGGAAAGCGTTAATCCTGCAGTATTTGAAGTTGAAAGCGGCAGCCTGTCCTCCCTCCGGCTCCCAGGCAACTGTCAGCCTTGCAGAGAAATGGCAGTTTTGTTTTGGAAATTGGCACTCCTTCCCCTACAGCTCCTGGAAATGAATTTGCTTTTTCCCCAGCTGCAAATTTCTACTTCCAGCATCGCTGCCAGCGCGCCGTCAGCTGCCCCTGCTCAAAGAGCCCATTGTAGCTCGCTGGCACACTAACAGGGGAGGGCTAATGCGGGGAGAAATCGCTCCCTGCACACGTGTGTGCGTGGGCAGCGTGGTCCTGCCTGCCCTGCATGGCCCTGGGCAGGAACGGGCTCCCACAGCATCCCTGGAAATCCAACGGCCCTGGGCAGCCGACTCGCTCCCATCCCACCGCCGCCAAGTCAGTACCTGCCACCTCACGGGTGGGCAGGAAAGATGCTTGGCTGGGCCAGGCGTGGGATGTGTTGTCCATCCCACGAGGAATTGGAGCCCTCTCGCTCGGTATCCGCTGCTCAGAGCGTTAGGGTCTGTTCCCACAAATCATAATATCATTAAAATGTATTGAGAACGAAAGGATTTACATCCTTTACAAGCCTCAGAGAGGCAGCTTTTCACTCCCAAACCAGCAGATTCCTGCCTTTTGCTTTCAACAGGAGGCTAAAAATAAGATCTCGGAGCATGAGGGGAGGCAGAGCGGATCTGAACATACAGAGATCCTTGCTTGTGTGCATGCCCAGTGCCGGGGCTCAGCGCCTACTGACAGCGTATTAGAAATAAGCTCAAGACCATCACTCTTCGCTAGAGGGAAAACAACTGGAGTCAAGGCAGCAGCAGGGGTTCATCAGCCCATTCACATTCCTCTTGGCCAAGCAAGAGAGGGCAGAAATGCCCTCGCATCACCAAAATGCAAGGAAATAAGGTGCTGGTGCGTGGCAGGTAGACAGCAGATGCGTAAAGGAAAATACAGATGCTCTAGAGAAAATACAGTTGAATGGGAAAGCGGCCGCTTCCTCCAGAGGTATCTAGAAAGAGGATCCAGCATCGTCTGGGTATCGTGACAGCGAGAAGAGCTGAAGTTAAAAAATGCATTTCCATGGCTGCTGCTCCCGGTCGTGTGGGAAAGCCGCAGGCAACAGATAATTTTACCTTTTACAGGGAATTTTCAGATGGGGCAGTCCTGCTGTACGCCAGCAAACCCCGGAACACCAGTTCTGCCTGCTGGCTTGTGGTTTTCTCTCCAAACCTGACATTTTTCCTTTGACACCTTTCCTATCTTTTCCTTCCAACCTCGTTTCTCCTTTTCAAATTGTACTTGAAGACAAACTGGCCTGAGTTAGTTTTTGGGCTTTCTGATTCTTTTGGGTCAATTTGAAGAAGGGGAGGTGGGGGAGCACGTGCTGGAGATGCTTGGCTGGAGGTCGCTCCAGGGCCAAGGTGGTATTGCCTCCTATTTTGGGTCACAGCACCAAGACCAGCCAAGGTTTGATGTGCTCCCATAGGAAGTTGCTTTTTGGAACTGCCATCTCGGAGGTGTAGTAAAATTCATGTTGAAATAGAGGGTAAAGTAGCACGGGGAAGGGGAGGGGGTGGTTGTCAGCCCTAGAAAAGCAAAGCCGGGGGGGTATTTGTTCGCACCTCCAGCCCCAGGGCTGCCCCTACCACCCTGGGACACGTTTGCTCTGGGGACTGTCCGGTGGCATGCCGCGCTCGATGTCCCCGCTCCTTTGGTGGGCAGGTGGGGAGAGGAGTCTGGGCTCCATGATGCCGGGCACCAGCTCCCCCCGGCCCCATGGCCTGACACTGCCCGTGTGCCCGGCAGTGTGACGGAACCCTGCTCGACCTGAGCAACACGTCCCTGGAGGGTATCGCCGTCCTCAACATCCCCAGCATGTACGGCGGCTCCAA